GGTACAATCTGTTGTTTCATAAAATGTGTTCATCATTATGAAAGCTTGGGTCACACGGCGATTGTTCACGGAATGGCTGCACGAAGTGCTCACACCCACCGTTAGGAACCTTCTTTCTGAACAGCTGCCTGACAGGTGCCCTCCAGCATGGCGATGATGCAGGTGCTGTGTGACTTCATGAAGGTCAACTCCTCTCCGCAACACCACGCTTCTTCTGCAGCCTGGGGATCAACGAGAGATCTGCAGCTCACAGGCCCCCTCACCAGGTGTTTGAACATCACTGCAGCCTGGACTCTGAAGGAAACACTTCAGTGTCCTGTACGGCGTCCACTTCAGGGACCAAGCCTGGGAAGCTGTCACACACTGGACTGAAACTCAGTCTGAAGGACACTGTGGCCAGAATGTGTCATTAGATGTGACTGAAGGATGCACGGGGAGGGAGGGGAAGCGACTGTGTCCCACAGCACAAGTGTGGTCTGGATGCCAACGGTGAGAACATGGAGGAGCTTGCAAAGAACCATGAGGAGGCACTGACCATGGAGACCTCGCCAAGCTCCAGAGCAACAGTGGATGGAGTAGGACAGAGACAGGGAAGAGGGCAGTGGCAACGGGATAAAATCCACTGTGGAAACAGGATGAGCACCACCCAACACAACTGGGGCCAACAGTTTGAATCTGAGGAACAATGACGCGGTCTGGTTTCCAGAGGGTTATACAAGGCAGGAGAATGCAAGTGACATTAGAGAGGCATCTCATCAAGACGGACCTCATAGCTAAGAGACAGAGAAGAGTGGAACTCCTGCAGGCAATCAGTCTTTCCAATGTCTTTGTAGAGGGGATCCTCCCTGGAGCTGTACCTTCCTCCACCCACCTGCTGCCCTCCACACCAGCAGTCAGCTCAAGCAAGGTCAGCATTCTCTCCACACTGCACTGCACTGTACTTTGGTTCACAGTTTTGTGGTTGAGAAAACATATATGGTTCACCACAGATTGACCTTATATACACTGAAGCTTACAGGGAAATTTGTTTCGGTTCATGACCAGAATCCTGGAACAGATTAAATTTGTGAACTGAGGCACCACTGCATTATCCTCATCCACATAGTTCTCATTTGCATTTTGGATTTATTTCTGGGCTCTGTTGCATTCTACTGATAAATTAGTTTTCACTTCTTTTTCAGAATGTTCCTGGTTGTTACTGCCTAAAATGTTTTTTGTATGAATTTAGAATCTGCTTTACCAGCTCAAACATATACGGATAATTGAGTTAATTCAATAGAACCTAGAGAATTGGCAAGATTGATTTTCTAACTTGATACCGTAGTACAGCTTTTCACTTGATCAGTTTTGTTTTTTTTTTTTTTTTTTTTTTTTGTATCCCTGACAGGCATTTCTTTAGCAGTTGAACAGTTTTTATTAACTTTATTCTAAGTTATTTTAACTTTTTGCAATTTTATGTGTGGCCTTCTTATTACATGTTTATTTCTGAATTATTTTAGTAAATTCATCTTTGTGTTCAATATTTTTCAGCAAATTTTCTTAGATTTTCCCAGTATGTAATAAATCATCTACCCGTAATCATTGCTTCATTTCCTAATTTAAAATTAGCATTCTAATTTGAGTTTAGAGTTCTACCAAAAAAATTAAATACAAGTAATGATCCTTCCCATTCTGATGTTAATAGGGATATTAATATTAATCAAGTTTGAAAATATGTTGCTGTTTATTAGAATTTCTTAATCAAGAATGGATTTTAACCTCACTGAAATGGTTCTTTAGCATCTCTGAAGATGCTCCTAGCTGTATTAAGCATTGGGGAGTTTATTTCCTAACAGTGACCTATCCTGCATTCTAGGATCCACAAGGCATGTCCACCTGGTGTTTTTTTTTTACTGGAGTCTGTTGTACTGATTTTTCATAATCAAGATGAAACTATAGTTTCCTTTATTTGTGCTTAGATTTGAGTGTCTTTGCTTTGCTAACATTTTAAAACACATAAATTATCTAGGTCCTTGAAAATTTAAAAATACGCTGGAATAGATTTCAAAGCTCTTTGGAGTTGGTGTGTATAAATGGTGCAGGTGGTGGTGATGGTGTTTGTCCTGAACTTTATTACAACTGGTTGTTCAGGTGCTCTGTATCTTTTGGAATCACAGAATATTTTCCTTTTGTTTTGGTACTGGGGATCAATTCACAACCTTGTTATTGCCAGGCAGGCATTTGTGCCACAAGCTCAATCCCCAGCCTGAGAAATTTTTTCTTAAAACTGTTGCATCTGTAATAGTGTAGAACTAGACAACTTGTCTCTTTTTATGAAATTCTCTTTATCTCTAGAATGTTTATAATGCTTCTATTTATTTAATTGGTTTTATCTGATTTGCTTTATATTTTTGTTATTAAAAATCAACTTAAGGTTAGTTGATCCTTATTTTCTACCAATTTTTCTAAGAACGGTATGTTGGGTCAGCATTTTATTTTTTTTGAGACCGCTTCTCAGAATATAATTCAGACTCACCTTGACTTGCAGCAATCCTCCTGCCTCAGCCTCAGTGCTGAGATTGTAGGTCTATATCACCACACCTGGTTATAAGAACGTTACATGGAATGTACTTGTTATCTGTGAGAATCAGCTAAGAAAAGGGAAATGAATTAGAAGTGTCTGAAAACATTCTTCAAGTCTGGCTGTCAACCTGAATAGAGACAAGTACATTCTTAGGAAGGTGAGCAACACCTTCTGTGACACATTACAGGGCATCTTAAAGCAGCACTTACAAACGCTGACGAGCATGAGGAGCTGTGCTCCTCAAAACACAGGATTTGCAGCACCCGGCAGGGTAGCAGGAATCCCTCCCTCATCTCCTCGTGATTTATGTCACACTACAGTGACAGTGTTTGTGTGCTGATGGTGCAAAGGCGAGAATTAATGGGTGCAGGAGCCAGGAGGGGTCACCTTGGGCACAGAGCATTTGCGCAGGGAGACAACTGCAGTGACCTTCCTCTGTGAAGACTTACTTCCCAGGTGGACGGCTGCTCCTTCCTGACAGGTGACACTAACCATGGAAAGGGGTATTTGGGGGTTGCTGACGGCCAGTCTTGCTTCCTTGGGAGCTGGGTAGAAAGGAGGCTTGAGTGGGTGGGGCAGCTGGTCTTCTCTGGTTCCATTTCACAGCTCTAGCGCACCACGGCTCAGGCCACCCAAGAAACAGGCGCAGTTAGTTGAAGTTCCAGCCGTAGGTAAGAGGGGCGCACCTCTGACACTGCTGAAAACGTCACCGTTTTAAGTACATGGTTGATGGAACTTTTCCCATCATGTTTTGCAACACACACGGTGTGACTACAGACAGTCTACATTTTCAGAAAGCATTAAGATAAAAGGACACGGCGGCACTCATCTCCTCCCAAATGCCCTCCTGGCTCCCAACACCACTGCCTCACTCACTGCAGCAGCCCAGAAGTCCCGCTTCCTCAGCCTCTGCTTGCGCTCCTTGGGTGCCTCACTGTCCCGCACCCTCTTCTCGTGGTCGTTCTGATGGGGTCACAAGGCGCATGGTGCCTGGTCTGGTGAACAGGGTGGCTGAGGACAACCGTGTTGGCATGACCCTGCCCCTCCCGATGGAGGGCACCAGGCAGCAGCATTCACTTCTGTCACACCCTTTAGACACTCACTGAACAGAATTTCTAGAATCCTCTCAGGAGGACACAAACAGTGGCATGTATAGGTGAGACAAGGGGATAGATTTAGATTAATGGCAGTAGGTTTCATTGTAATTTTTGCAAATGTTCACTGTGTATTTTGATCAAACCTCTCAATACAGGACAGGATAAATCATGTTTTTAAAAAATCCTCTTTAGAACTGATACTTTTCTCCAACATAAACACAACAGCAGTTTCTCAGGCAAGACAGTAGAGACTATCTTTTTTACCTCTTTGCTTTAGGAATTTCTTCTTCGCCTTTGGGGGTTGGACTCTCCACCTGTATATTCTTTTAGAGGCCACCCTTGACTCTCTCGGCAATGTTCGTGTTTTAACTTTGCAAAATACAGGCTTCTAGAAAATTGTTACAGAAACACATAAAGAAGACCACAAAATTTCTCCCCCAGAAAATGTCGCCCCTCACAAAGCCAGTGTTAACAGTGAGGTGTACTCCTCTGTTGTTTTAGGGAATCTGGTATTTTACAACAGTGCTCATGTAACTTTACATGGGCAAAATCTGGACATCTGCCCTAGCAGTCAACGTTTCTCACTCTTAATGCAGATAGAGAAATAAAAATAAATAAACTGAAGGAGCATAATCTACTAAAATGGCCCCTTAGTGACAGGACACTTGGATAAGCTCTACTAAGGAACAAGTCACCCTGCTGTGTACACTTATCAGGTCACCCTTTTCTGGCAGTTTCCTGAACGAACTTAGTGGGCCAGAATGTTCTAGAATTTCCAACAAATCCTAGAAAACTACATTCCTGAAGGCTGTCACAGTTACACTTCAGCACAGAACATAAAGAACACCATGTGTCTAACTTGAGTAGCGTGTTCAAAACCATGCAGCAATTTAACTTGAAACTTTAGAGATTCTTCTTATAATTGTACTGGTTATAGGTAAAGTTTGGCAGATCCTGACTGAAGGGGATGCTGGATCCCAAAAGAGATTTATAACTCTAAAGCCCTCTGACAGCGAGTCTGTGGTCAGCTACCACTGGCAGCAGTGGAGGGCCGCATACCTCACTGCTCTTCTCCTGACCAGTACCTGGGGCCAGGCTTGGGGGAACACACTCTTGAGCAGTTCCTCTGGAATAAACATACATAAAGTAAGACTTCAAATCTTTTAATCCCAAATTATCAGTGACAGATACTAGATTTAAAGAATGGTAAAAACATACACTCACCTCCAAAGATGCGCTAATAATAGTTTTGCACATTTTTACAGGGGGAATTTCTAGTAAAACTGTCAAAATACTGCCTTTAGAGTAGTTATGTTCAATAAACCTACATACACTTGATATTTGTGTCTTACTTTCTAGGTCACACACTTTATTTTAGAAATAAAAAAACATGGGATAGGGAAGGCCATGGGGGGCAGTTTATTGTAAAATACGAAGCAGCAATAGTTCCAGCAAGTGAGTTGCTCCTTTACAGTCCCAGCCAGAACACAGAATGACTGGATCGCCTCATCAATGCCAAGCTTTAAAAAAAAAAAAAAAATAGAGGAACCACCATGAAGACACCACCACATTAAAATCGCTTTCTTTTGATAATTTCTGGCTTCCAGCTGACTGGATGAGTTTCTTCTGTCTAAAAATAGAAAAGCAAATTAAAGTATTATCAGTTTGCTTCATAGTTAACATGATTCCTTTCAACAGAAGTAGCATTCTAAACCTTGTGACCTGGCACTTTGGTTAGCAGGTCTTTGATGATTTTAAGAGTACCTGACTGACTTGGCATTATCCTAAACTAAGACGGCTGTGTACTACAAGTTCAGTTTTCACTGTTTCATTTAAAATAAAACTTCTACTTAGACAATACAGTAGTGCCAAAGGTTGACTCTATAATTAATCTGCATGGCAATGTTACTCAACATCAGATGCATATCACTTTCTCAATCAATACCAGGAAAGTTATAAAATTAAAGTAATGAGTTCAGGGGCATCAGTGAAAGCAGTACAGACACCTAGGAGAACATACTATTCACAATGACAAATATCTAATTACATAATCCGACAAGTACACTCTCCTTCTGTTGCTAAACAAGAAGACTGTTGCCTAACTTGTATGACTGCTGCTTTTCTTTACAGGTGTGTAGAAAGTCAACTTACTGCGGTATCGTCCTCTCTGTACACTTTGATGGTTTTATCTGCTTCCGCTGTTAGTAATCGACTTTCAGACTGGTCAAAAGCACAAGCAAATATTCCTGATTCACTGTCCAAAGAGCCAGGCTGTACGGCTGCATGAACTCTCTGAAAATTGTAGCCAGTTCTCCAGTCCCAAAGATGCATAGTACCATTGTCAGCTGAAAGAGAAGATCTAGTTTCAGGTGGCACCTTCACAGCTCAGCTGCACCAACATGCAGCTGTAAGCCACCAGCCTGAGTGTCACGCTGAGAACTACAGTTACCAAAGACAAGTAAGACACAGGCCTCAAACGCCCCTCAGCATTCCTTAGTCTCGGGTATGGTGATGCATGCCTGGAACCCCAGCTCTGGGAGGCTGAGACAGGCAGGATCACAAGTTTAAGGCCAGCCTGGCCTATAAAGCAAGTTCAAGATCAGTTTGAAATACAATCTCAAAACGACCAAAACCAAACAATAAGAAATAATGGTCCATTTATTTTCAGTTGTGCTTATTTCAGGATTTTAGACTTTATTTTAAAAAAGCAACACAAAATTTGACATTTGATTCCAGAACATCCATCCAAAATGTAGGCAACCCCCAGTATACACCCCTAACTTAAGGCTTACCATGTGGGACCTCTTAAGGAGCTAAACTATAAAACAAACTATGCAGCATGTGTTCTGAAGGTGCCTGAACATCCGAATCAGGCAAGCTCTGCTAGGGTACTTCCACGTGCCACCTCAGAAGCGGGGCAAACGTCTACTCATTCGTGCCTATGCAGACAGACAGCCACTAAAGAAATTTAAACAGTAACCACTGCAGAAATCTTACTTTACCTCCAGATACAAGCACTCCATCGGAATTCACTGTCAATGTATTAATGATGGCATTATGACCAGAAAGATTCTGAATGAAACTTCCGTCCGGGAACTTCCACTGTTTTATGTTATCTGGCGAACCGGATGCAAACGTGTAACTGAAATAAGATTAAAAAGCAATTATGGCAACATGAAACAGGAAATAAAATGGGTGAGTAAAAAAGTTTATCACTATTTTTTTATATCTACACAAAGCTTATGTAGTTTCAGCAAACATATTACTCATTCATGATGCAAAAATATCAAAGCATTTGTTCCAAAGGAAATCCAGCTTTTGAAACTTTTAAAATGGACAGTGGACCCTCAAGTTACAACTGGCCTGACACATGAACAACTTGGGTTCCAACTGGAACTTTAGCTTTAAACTAGAGACCAAAGTCTTGTTTTATGACCCAAATGCCAGCCACTTGTGCTGTCAATGGCCTCAGATACAGACTGAACCCTTAAGAGTTCTGGAAGGAGTGTTACAGCATCCTTTCCTGTGCGGCTGGGCCTGTGTCCAAGGACACTGAGATCCGCCTGCACACAGGACAAAGGCTCTGAAGGCCATGGTGAGGAGCCTGAGCCCTTGACTGACAACCAAGTTACCAGCAGCCCAGTCTGCTATAGTTTAAATTCCAGAGTGATATTTTACTTTCTTTACATTTTGCCACTGTTCTATAATGAGTGCAATAAATGTGCAAATATCTGATTTCACACGAACACAAAATATTATGTGATAGTTCTGCAGAAAAGCTGAGAAGGAAAGACAGATGGTAACAGGAAAGGACAGAAAGGACATGAAGGAGGAAAAAGAGGGAGGAGAGAAAGATCATTACAACCAGAAAAGTCCCAGGGGTGAAAGGATGGGGCAAACAGTAGACAGGAATACTATCTTCTATTCCCTTGAATACTTGATTATAATGCTTGCGATTCTTACTTTCTGTGGATATTAACTCCTTCCCATAATTAACTTTTCCATGTATATATCTCAGTGTCCAGTATCATTTATGTCCGAAACACAGCTAGCCACTATTACTTTCCATTTTGACATGCAGCTTTTGAGCATGATTTACTTATAATGTCTTATCACTATGCAGAAGGCTTTCCTCGTCTTACACAGGGCGGGAAGCAGAATGGTAACAAGGGGCAGGAAATGACAGCTGGCAAGTGACAGACCAAAGCAGGACTGAGGCTGAGACTTCAGCACCATGCTAAGACCTGAAGAGAAATGAGAAGCCAATCAGAAAACACACTTACTGCCGGGGATGTAAAACCACGGCCCTGACGGACTTTTTATGATTTGTTAATGTCACTCTTGTTTTTCCGGCCACCAGATCCCACAATCGTATTGTAGTGTCATGGCTTCCTGTAATGAAGACACACACACATCTGTAAATCGCAGACCAGGAAAAAAAATGCAGGAGGTGAATATAGTCAAATAACCATTCTTCCATAAATAAAGCAAAATTTTATCATCTTTTAGTTAAATTCATTGCATTTCCAATATTCTAGGTTAATTTTAAATATAATTCGTTAAAAAGTAAAACGCTTGTTAACTGAACAGCAAGTATAAATGCAAATAATAAAGTAATGATTTTATTCATCAGTGAAAAAGAAGGTAAAATTACAGCACTAATTTCAATTAAATACATCAAACGCAACAATTATTTTCTATTAAGAAGCACAATTATTAAAAATAAGATTCACATTAATTCTGAAGATTGCTGGTGTGAAAATATTTTGTCTTCTCACCTCGGTCTCCCAGACTAATAAAGTTGGTACTGTAACACTCAGCTGTATGAAACAGCAGTTTTCTAGCCAACCATGACAAGATACAGTGGTACCTTGGCTCATGAGCGCTTCTGCTTGAAATATGAGGCAAAGTTTTGTTTTTGCTCATGAACTGTGCATTGGGTGACAAAGGTGGCTGTTCTCCCCAGAAGTGGAATAAACCGAGCTCATGAACCAAGGTGTCACTGTACAGTGTATGACACAGTCTATCTTTAAGAAGCATGGAGGTAAAAACAAGTGATGCACTCTTACAATAGATTTTAAATGCTCTGGGTTAAAATATACAACACAGAAACACCTCAAATACAAGAAAACGCCAGAGCCACAGTGCACGTAGGTTTACACACAACTGTAACACATTCCCAATATGACATGGCCAGGCGGCAAGTCTGAAAAGTTGCCATCATACCAGTGATGATCTGTGGCTCCGCGGCTTGGCACCTCACTGTGGCCACTGCATTCGTGTGGCCGGAGAGAGTGTGGACACTGGCTTTAGTTCTCACATCCCAGATCTACAAAGGGGAACAGACACATTGTCAGAAAGACAGGCTTCCTCTCTCAGGCACACATCTGCATCAACTGAAGGCTGACACTGACTAGAAATCGTGCCTAACTATGGGAAAGAAAGGGCTCCCACAAAGTTCAGCGACCTCTAAGCTGGAGGGGACACAGACAGGAGACAGCTGCGGTGGGGGGATAGGACACAGGACCAGGACAGGGGACCAATGGGTAGGTGGGCGGAACAGGAAGACCGAATCAAAGCACTCAAGGGCAACAGCTGTAATGGACCAGTATGTGAGAAGCTCACACTTCAAGGGCAAGGCAGCCACAGCAATAAGCACTGTGAGGCCACAGAAGTGAACATTACGGTGGGAAAGTACGTAGCCAAGAAACCAAGGCAGTGGGGGCCCGCTGGGTCAAGCAACTATCTTTCTTCCTAAGACAAATTCCTATTAAACACATGTATCACAAGCTGCAATGCATCTGCACACACACACGCACACACACACACACACACACACACACACACACACCCCTCACTCTAGCCCATTTACCTACCCGTGCAGTTGAATCGCGACTACAGGTTACCAGCACATCAATTGTTGGATGCAAATCCAAACCATACACGGCACTTAGATGTCCATGATAGTGCCTTATAACCTTAAACAGAGTAGCAAAATTAAAATTCCTAAAACGAAAATGATGCATTGGTGATGCCTGACGCCTAGGTCCTGAACTCCAGGCTCACCTTATTATACTCAAGATCCCAGCACTTGACTTGCTTGTCTTCCCCGCAAGAGAACAGGTATGGGCTCCTTGTGCTCACAATCACACCCCGCACCGTGCTGATGTGCCCTGTTAGCGACAGCTTCAACTTGCCACTAGCCAAGTCCCAGATCTGCAACCAAAGCACAGCAAGGCGAAGCTGAACTTGGAAAACATCCACAGTGACAAAGTCGGTACTCCTAACTTACAAAGGGTATCACCGTAATCAGTATGAATAGCATGCTTAAAAAACCTGAATGTACAAAAGAAAGAGATAAGAAGTTCAACCTCTCTGGAAATCTTACATGAATGCTTGAAAAAGATTAAATACCCAGTTTTGCTTGCCATACTAAGACATTTTTAAAGGGATTCACAGTATGCTAAAATAGAACCTCTCAAAAATGCTGTTGCCATCAATTTGCTGATTTTGGAAAGTACTTGTAATTTGGGTATCAGGCTCAAAAATATTTGACCCAACACTTCCATTTCTGGGAGTCTACCATACAAAAACACACAATGAACTACATGTGCAAAGATGAATTATGGCAGTATGTGTAAAGTGAACATTACGCTACAACTTTAATATCCAACAACAGAAAAACAATACAGAATATTTGAATTGTATATTAGGTAACCACTTAAAAAGATATACAATTCTTCACAAGAATAAGCTTTTTTTTTTGGTCTTTTTCCTTTTTATCGGTACCGGGGACTGAACTCACGACTGCCTGCTTCCAAGGCAAGCGCTTATGCCGCTGAGCTAAATCTCCAGCCCCTAAGAATATGCTCTTAATAAAATGTTAAGCTGAAAAAAGCAAGAAACAAAATTACCTGTCAAAAATAATTTTTAAGCTACACATTTATACACAGGGAAACAGCTAACAAGTAAATGTACTTGTAAATCTACACACACAGAGTAATGAAAATAAAATTCACCTAAATAGCTAACAGAAGTATGACTTCACGGATCTAGATTCTCTGATAGCTGTCTATACTGTTCAGATTTCCTATAGATGATAATGATGCTTTAATTTTGTAATCAGGAGGAAAAACCCTTAAGGATCAAGCAGGTAGTATGTTTATAGAGAAAAATCTATCACTTAAACACTACTCAAACAGATATTTTGGAAACCTCATTACGACAGTAAGTAAAAACCAACTAAAGACCTCAGAGATGCAGAGTATTAGAGTTAAGAGAAGGAATCACAGTGTATAAAGACTGAAGGAAAAAAACCCCCAAAATAAACAAACAAAAACCCAAGGTTTTAAAATAGCAACTGTTGCCACAGGAAGTGACTTAAAAAGAGTAAACAAACACCCCGTCACGCTCAGCTTTTCTTGTTTCCTTCTTACCTTTATAGTTCGGTCAGCAGACCCGGTAACAAACCACTGATTCCCAGGTTCCACGGCGATGCAGCGCACCCAGCCGAGATGCCCACTGATCACCTGGTGAGGAGAAGGGGCGGCAGCAGGCTTACCCACACGCGTCAGGTTGCATGGGGTCCTAACTGTTCCTCCCCACACCTCCGAACCCCACCTTTGTAAGACCTGACCATTAGATTTCAGATGAGAAAATCATCCTCAAAGGCGAGCAGATACACAAGTGCTGGAACGCCCGTACAACAGAACACTCAGCAGGAAGGGATGCGTGGGTAACCCAGCAGCTTACACAGATCTCAAAAGCTTAAGCCGAGTAAAGGAAGCCTGCCTCCAGAAGTGCACACTGTAAACTTTCAGGTGCAGGACACAGTCAGAGACACAGACCAGAACACACTGGTGGTCGCCAGGCGTAGAACTAAAGACTAGCACAGGGTGTTCTGTGGTACACTGACCGTGGAAGCGTTATCAACTTATCATTGTTCAAATGTTAGACTGGTCATGTAAAAAGTCTCTTACCATACAATCATTTAAAAATAAGTTTATGTCAGTTGTACATTTTCTACTACAAATATATTGTTATTTTAGATCTGACCACTTTGGATCACTTTCATTTACTGAAGTTTAAAGAACTGGAAAATCCAAAGTAACTCCTTGACAAGGTGTTTATTCCTTAGCTTCATATGAAATGCCTACTTTCCCAATCCATTCTGTCTGCTCGCCACATTTAGCAGTCCTCTGCTGACGTTTCAGGCTGCACCTTAGAGAGGAACCTCCTCCTCACAGCTGGCACCTTCTCAGGCAGCACAGGGTCCTGCGCCCGCCTGGCTCACTCTCGGAGTTCTCACTCGCTCTCCTCTTCCTCCGCTGCCTTCTGCCCTCATCAAGTGGAAAGCAGCTTTTACACAGCAGGATGGAAGGCAGGCCCACTCACCCTGTAGAGTTTCCACGGTGGGTGCCACTGGGGCTTTGGCATTGTAGGGGCTTTTTTAGCCATCAGTGCAGAATTCTTGGTATTGCCGGTCTCCATAACCATCTAAATGTGAAATGCACAATTTACAAACTTATTACCTGACTTATTACATGTCTAATAAAGATATCAAACTGAATACTTCATGTTATTAATTCAAAAGCTGTAATCATGACATAATACTTAAGAAAATGTTTTTCCTCTTAAATGAAGAGGAAAAGACAGTTAAGATACTTTCTCACAAGTGAAAAAAAAGAATCCAAGACACTAAATTAGAACTGCATTTTCTGTAGGATTAAACTCACAACCTGGAGCGTGCCAGGAAGGCGCTTACACTGCTGAGCTAAATCCCCATTAAGTTAGTTTTAAAAACCAACTAAAACATCTCAGAGAAACAGTGTTAGAGTTAAGAGGAGGCAATACCGTGTGTAAGTTCAAAATCCAGAGATGCCAATTATTAACTAACTAATCTTAGGAAAAACTTCGCAACCTCTAAGGGTCTCCAGTGTGACATGGGAAGCCCAAGTGCTGGATCACAGGGTTCCTGTCTCTTCTCTAACACATTGTTTCAATGGGGTTTAAAAAGGCACACCAGCTCATAGAGACCACCAGCTGATAGAGACCAAGCACCCTTAATCCAAAAGCCCACAGTCCAAAATGCTCTGAAATTCAAATTCGACTAGGATTTCTGGATTTCAGGTTAGGAATGCTCAACAGGTAGTTATGCAAAGCCAAAACCAAATCTGAAACACTTCTGGTCCTATGTATATCCAAAAAGAGACACTCAACTGTATCATTCATCCATTAATCTAAAAAATACTTAGCCCATTAAATTCTCCCTCAAGAAGTTCAAGTTATAGTATACCTTCCTAAGGACAGAGCTCTGACTTCCTCTGGATGGAGGAATAAGAAATGTGACACAAAGGTTCCAAATTGTCACTTCACACATCAGATGAGTTCCCCAGTAAATAAGGAAGTGAAGTCCACACTTATTTCAAGGATCACTGTAACAGACCTATGCCACAGCGTCAGTTATTCTTTCCACAGTACTAAGGCAGCCGCCACTTACTACTTGTCCCCATGCCTTCCTCATGCCCACAGATGGTACCACACCAATGACACCCAGCTGTAACTATACCACTGCACAGCACAGCTAAAAGACTTACACAGTTAGCACATACTGACACAGGTTTGGAAAACACTCTCCGCAGCTGTAATAATGGAGAGTAAATGTCAACATCACGTAAGTTTTCCCAAAATACACACCATGTACAGTATGCAAGTAAGAGGCTTTCATACACCTTAAGCTTTACACTGCTTTTTACACTAACAAATTCCAAGAAAGTGATCATTTCTCAAATATTTAGGGTAAAACGTTTGGGATAAAAACAATGAGTGACGTATTTAAAAGGCAGAAGGCTACAGTGTGGTCAGACGCAGGGGACTCACCGAATTCACTCCTGCAGGCTGCGCGCGCTCAGAAGCCCCAGGATGGCGGTACTCACTGCCCCCAGATGTAGTCCGATTTGTATCAGTCCTGAGGAAAAAGAAGCACCACACAGGAAGTAAACAATGCTTTGAGTCACGCATTCTGCAAAGCCTGCAAAGCCTTGCCTTTAATTTTTGCAAATCCTAACAGAAAATACTATAATAATACATGGTTATGAAGAAACAAATTTAAAAATCAAAGAAACATCAATGGTCAGATGTGCTTTCAAGATCTTTCCAATTTGTTCCATTGCCCACCTGGCCTGAGGAGAAGGTGATGCCACTGCCAAGGACTGCGCAGCGGACTCACTCGGCATTCTCTGCACTTTAGTATCCGCTGTCAGAGCCACCCCTGGGAAAATAAAGCCACTCCTATTAGCTGTCTCTGCTTTCGGGCACACGCATTTTAAACAGAATACAAACAGGAAACACAACATAAGGCCATCTCCAGGGAGTGAGATCACAATAATTTTGATTACAGTTTGCTTGCTTTTGTTTCTAAGTTTTTATAATAAATATTGCTGACAATTTGATCTGATTACAGTGGCCCAGTGTTTAACTGGCCAAGACCAAGTTTCTATTAAATTCAGATATATCTGAAAAAGCAAAAAATGATGCACTCAAATAATAACAATGTTTCCAACAATGAATGTTACCACAACAAAAAGTGCCCCTTTCCCTATATTTTCGATGAACACTTAGCCTATTGTCTTCCAGACTGCTAGACTGGCCACACCATTTCTCTACCAAACCATGGACAGACAGACAAAGACACACACGACACTTCAAATTCTTGCTTCTAACCTAACACTTCTATGTTTTGGAGTTTAGGTATCCACATGCCTTCCTTAATTACCAGATAAGCACAACTAGGCCTAGAGCAGCCTTGAAAATAATTGGAGCCAATAAAGTAAAACATTTTCAACACCTAACAGCCACTTACCAGGTCCTGGTGGATATGGATGTGTCCCTGTTACCACATATTCAACTTCTTGACCTAAAATAAATAAGTTAATAGAGAATTTATTTTACATTCAGGTATATATCTTTTTAAATCTGTCAAGTAACATCATTAATTGTATTTCTTTCAAGAAATCAAGGCTCAGCAATGAAGAAAGCTGCTTTGTTTTGATCTTATAAACTATGTGAACAGCTATTTCTTCACCCATTAACTGATTAGAGGTAAGATGATGAATTTACTCCTAGAGAGCAATGTTGTACAAAGACTTTCCCATTCAGCAATAATCCACTCTGGTTTTTCTTCTAAGAATACAGATCATATGGACTCTTGTCTCTATCCGTTATAAGTAGCAGTATTTAGTTTTGTCTCGTGAATTACAGCCATGATAGTTCTCCCCCAAGTTAGAAACATTCTCTAAATTTTTCCTTTAGTCTCCATTGTGACTTCCACATTCTAATACTATACTATACTTCCAGTAAGAAAAAAGTCATCAACCAATTATTTCAATTACTGCAAGCAAGTCAAGACGTCCACTGTAATACTAGTATAGTCACTGAATATTTTAAGACCTCAACCCATTCTTCCAGGAGGGGCATTTAGAAGGACATTTTGCTTTTCTATTTTAAGAATTTGCATATAAACTCTGGCATTTTCAAGTAGCCCCGTACTCACCTTGATTGGCAGGGTACTGTTTTTGGCCATATGAATCCGTCGCATTCTGAGGGCCCTTCTCTTTAAGGTTTTCTTTTGAAGTAGGCATATGCAACACGGGGCCATACTCATTACGGAGCTTGATTGCCATTTTTCGTTTATGACTATTTAAAAATTACAAACATAAAATGTACCCTTAAATACTCTAAATATACTCACCATTGCAAATGCTTATAGATAGCCAGGAAACAAGTACTTAAATAGCTTAAGTTTCCCAGTCATGTAGAAAATGTTTCTAGTAAGATTTTAAAATTAAATAGTATTTTAGGAAATAAATCAAAATTTCAAGTGCATTTCTACACTATATATGTTTGCTCAGATACCAGAGTATTTATTACACCTAACATTTTAGCCTGTTACCTAATATAAAACCTTTCAGATGAGTTCCCAAGGGTCCATCCGATTTAAAGATATAAAACTAATAGATCCCTTTAAAAAAATCTCAAAATGAATGTATTTCCATCAAATGTCTACATATATACAGTAAAAACTTCTATATCAACCTTCACCAGATGAATCTAAAAAAAATCAGAACTAAAGTAACTTTTCAATACTGTAAAAAAGAAATGCACTCAAACCACTTTTAAGACTAGTGTACCTTATAAATGAAATATAAATGCTCATTTGTGGAATTCAGTAGATTTTATAGGAAGGGTGAAGGACAAAGAAGAAGAAGGCACATAATGCATTCCCAGACTGGAGCTACGTAAGTAGAACCAAAAATACGCCAAGGCTCAAAAATCTTCATCATACTAACGAGAAAAGATGGGAGTAGAGGTACTGGCCAGGTACAATTTCAGCTCAGCAAGGCTCTGAGAGCAGCAGGAAGCTGAAAGCACATACAAAGTGATTGATTATAAAATAAATTACCTAAAAGGGACTCTCCTAATTAATGGATCTTTGTAAATGCAATTAATTAATTGGTTATTTTAGTGTAAAAGGCAAAAAAAAAGTTACACTAATTTAAACTATGCTAGGTCACTACACATTATTGAATACCTGTGTTATCTTAAAAAATTTCCCACCTTATGATCTTTCCTTAATATCAGAATCTTAAAAATTTATTAAGTGAAAAAGAACTACGCCTACCTCTCTTCATCCAAAGGCACAGGTTTTCCATTATCAGCTACAAACATATCATGGGTCCTTTTCAATGACCTGAACACAAGCGTGTGTACAGAGTGTTTCTGTACCTCCTAAAAAGAAAGAGTGCATTTTCACATTTAGCTACAAATTATCCACACTGTAAGCTAAATAGGAGTCAAATCGATAACACATTTTCCATATTTACCCATGTAAAAAGCTTCATACTATCTACTACAGTTGTCACAAGCTACAGGAGTCATCGCAGGAGAGAAGGCTCCTCTTTGCTCAGAGCCCTAGCCACAGCAAGTGAACAACGGCCGAGGTCAGCCACGTAGTTAGTAAATGCTGAGTTTGTGCTGAGTGGTTGGCAAGTACTGCGCTAGCTACCAAGAAGAGAATGATGAAAAGGAAACCAGGGTCCTCCTGCATGGAGGACAAGAACTAATAAGCGAAATAAGGCCACGTTTTGGAAAGTGCTTTGAAAATGAGCAAGGGCCTAGCAGAGAATTAAAAAAAAAAAACCCATTAGAATTATGAAAAATCTCTCTGCAATCTTTAAGCCGAAAGGGAAAAACCCGTGCACAGAATAGAGAATAATAATCATCCACGGCCTGTGAGGTGACCAGTAACTGAAATGACGCCACAAATGCAGTAAACAGTGCAGGCTGGGTGCGATGGGCTGTAGTTTACGAGATCGCAAGGGCAGATGAGGCAATGATTAGCCCTAGTCATTCGGGCAGTCGCAACAGCCGCTATTTTTGTTCTGCCACCACAAGGCCCGTAGAGGGTTTTAAGCAAGCAAAGCAGGGCCAGCTCAGATGTTTTCCATAGCACGACATATAGGAACACACAAGTGGGAGCAAAGAGACCAGCTAAAGGCTGATGCACCGGTCCGGGGGAAGACGACGCGGGACTGAAAGCAGGGGGCACGGTGGTGCACTTGCAGAAGACGGATGGAGCCAGGTAAGGATTGGGATGAGACGAAGTCGACCTGGCTCACAGAGTGGCTGCTCAGGCGAGGAAGAGATGTAAAAAGTCGCGACAGCAGGTGCCCCTGGCTGAAGCTGAAAGCCTTCCCCGTCTGGGGCAGAACCGGGGCACTGGCTCCCCGCAGCAGCGAGGGCCGAGGTTCCCCCAAGCAACAGAAGCCCCGCCCCCCAGGTCAGAGCCCAACTCCTAGGGCCAAAGGACTGGAGAGCCCTCGGGGCTCCCACGACCCTCCGCCAGGAATCGCGTCTGACCGCCCTTCCTCCCTGCGCACCCTAGGAGCGACCACCCGGCCGGGCCGAACGGCTCCCCCCGCAGCCTCTTCACTGCCTGGACCTCCATCCCTCTCCACTCCCCACGGCCGCAGCGGAGGAAACAGTACGCGGACAAACGACTCCTGCGCACTCAGTGTCACTTTACCTCAACCATGACGCCGCCGTGTTGTCCACTGGTCAGGCAGCGGAGACGCGCTAAGCCCAGCGTATAACCCACCGGTCACCACAACTATGAAGCCCCTTCCGGAAGCGGCGCCCGGGCGCCGGATGTGACGCAATCTTGGCGCATGCGCGCTGGCTGCCCGAACTCCCGGGAGTCGCGGGCGGGATTTCCTCCTCCTCAGGCCTCCTCTGTGGTAGCCCTGGCAGGGTCTTCACATGCTCCGAACTTTCCGCTTGACGCTCAGCTCTCCCTCTGCGGATCTGGGATCTTAGTAGTTTATGCGGTATTCACCGGGTGCTCAGCGCTCAGTCAGCGCTGTGGGGATCGCGGGCTCGGCCTCCGTCGCCCGGTCCTGAGGTTCCGTTGCCTTAGCGCCCCGGACTGGCCCGGAGCGGCCCTGTGGTCGCTTCGCGTTTTACTGCGAGAATTCGATCCGTGGGTGAGCAGGAGTCATCGGTTTAACAGGCGACGCGGGGACGGTGGAGTGCCTCCACCAGCAGAGGGTGCTGTGACCCTTAGGATCAGAACGGGTTTCCCGCTTGGACTACCCTGTGTTTCAGTGCCCTGGGTACTGGTCCCCTACGCTCCTAGGTCCTATGCGGACAGCTGGAAGGACGCGCGGCCTCCATTCCACGCGCGGTGCGACCCTGCAGGTTACTCCTCCGCAGCACCGCGGCCTGCCTCTCACAGATAGCACTAAGGAACAGAATCCCTACTTGCGGGACAGTCTGCATCTCCCCGCCCCATCTGGTGCCACGAAACAGGAAATAAGTAAATCACCACGCATTTGCATTATCCGAGCTCCAAGGCTCAATGCTGCGGCCACCTTCCTTTCCCCATCTAGAATTTTCCTTTCCTTAACGAAGGTTAAGGATGTCAGGTTTGCTGGGACCTACGTTTGACCTCCCTTTGGGCTTTCTCAGAGCAATCAAGACAAGTAGGGGCCAGTGGCTCCTTGAAATTTTTCTTAAAGTTGTGGCTTTTTGAGACTAGTCTGGCTTATGTTATGGATGTTGCCTAAATATGTTACATGATTCTGCTTTTCTTTTCCAAAAATTAAATATATGTATATAAAGTTCCCGCCAGGAGTCACAGCGAAGCCGGACATGGTGGCACACACCTGTAAATCTAGCACTCTGGAAGGCTGGAGCCAGAGGATGGCAAGTTCAGGCTCATCCTGGGCAATTTGGAGACCTTGTCTGATAGTAAAAAATTTGAAAAGGACTGTTCTGGAGGAGGAGTGCTGTCAGGTTCATTGTGACAGCTGTTAATGATTGGGTAAAGTCGTCCCAACAACATCAAAATAGATCTTCGAAAACCATGTAGTCTCAGAAGCTTTGGCTAAGGAAATACAATTAACTTAATTCTAAAATTACTCCCAGCCTTTAATAGCATATACTGCAGAACAAGTTTTTTGGCTTATGTAAGTTTCTTATTTCCACTTTCAAGACAATGTTCATCCAAAATATTTGGAAACATGCTTTCAAAAGCCAGTGTCTCCTGTCCCTACAGTATGTTCATAGGGAGAACTCTATACCCAAATATTAATGTGAATGAAGTGCCAAAAATAGAAAAATTTTAGAAAACCAATAATAGGATAAAGGCAATCAATATCATAATGATAGTTGGCATTTTTATAATGTCTCCATTAAGTTTGTGAAAGATCAGACTCAGGGAAAACAATCAATTTATTGAAATAAATTTAAAGCAAGACAGATTCATCGTAGCCTAAAACAAGTAAGTTTATATGCAGATAAGAAGCTCAGTCATAGTGCTGGGATGTGGCCTTGAGTGGATTCAGGGTTTAAATCCTGAAATTTACTTTAGGTCTCCACATCATGAGAGTGTGATAACAGTTTGATAGAACACTTCTTACTTTGAATTAAATACCTATCTGGAGAAAGAGACCTCTGAACTTCTTTACTAATCAAGATTTCCTCTTCAAGCTTTGAGAAAACCATTTCCAATTTCAGTTTTTCAGATTTCCTAAATTTTGCTCTTCACCACTATTGGTGGGTGTGTATACTGGTGCAGCCACTGTGGAAATCAGTATGAAGATTCCCCAGAAAGCTAGGATTAGAGATCCCACTTGACCCAGCTATCCTACTTCTGGACATTTTCCCAGAAGAACTGGAAACCGCATATCACACTCATTTATGTGTCCCCACAATTTGTAATAGCCAAATCTTGGAAACAACCCAAATGCCCATCAACAGAGGAATGGATAAAAAAGATAGCATTTTTATACAATGGAGTCCTGCTGTTATAGAGGATTGCATCAAGGCTTTAATAGATAAATGGATGAGACTTGACACCATACTCATAAGTAAATCAAGCTCACATGTAATACCATATTGTCTCCCTAATTAAGAAACTGAAAGTAAATAAGATCTAGAATCTACAGTAGATGTTGTGGAAGGGTAAGAAACTGCTCAACAGGGAAAAGTAGGAAAGGGGAAAGGAGAAAAGGAGAAAGATATAAATTTGTTTATACATAAAATAGTTAAGATGATTATACTGAATCTGTTTTTGGAAAAAAACATGATTAGATCTAATACATGATTAGATCAATTTTCATGTCTGTATCCGGTAACCTAAGCAGCTGTTTTGAAGATAATATGCAGTATTACAACTATTGTTAAATTCCTATTATCTTGTTTCAAAAGTGTACATTGTTTTACATTTTATGTTCCTGTAGTTGTTTGTCTCGTTTTTTTGTTCTTTTTCTCTTTAAAATAAAAATTAAAACCAAATTTCCTAAATTTTATGCATCAGTCAATGGGTGTTGGACAATATAAGCCTCATAAGTATTTCAAATTCATTTTAAGATCCAACGTTAGTATGTGGAACATACAGAATGGTATGTTGATGCTTCTACAGAGCTGAGTAGGAATGGGAGGAATCTGTTCTTATGAATCTGAAGCTTAGAACTTCAACTGTTGGCATAGGCCATGTATTAGTCAGGATTTTACCAGATGAAGCAGATATTGAAAGCGTTTTCGGTGTGGTTAGAAGACAGAATATAAAGTAAAGTGGCCTTTATTTTAAGAATGCAGAGAGAGAACCCCAGGGCCACTGGTCTGGCTTTTCTCTCTGCTGGATGCAAGGTATGGGGGCATACATATAGCTTAGGTTTGGGGTGGTACCTAAGGGGCATTACTGATGCACAAGTAGCCCACTGGAATTCATTTCACATCACAGGTAAATTGCCTAGGGGAGGGGAAGGTGACCTCAGGATAGAGTCCCTTGGTTCCACCTCCCAGCCTCCCACCACTGCAGCATCCCATTCAGGGCAAAATCCTTTCAGCTATAATAGGAGATGTACAAATGTATAACAAATTATCCCACTCTCCGTACCAAGTCCTGTCTTGGTTACTTTTCTTACATTGCTGAGACAAAATACCTGATGCCCAAAGTGAATCAAGGAAAAGTTTATTTATTGCCTTTTTTGATGTTTCAGTCCATTCTCAGCTGTCTCCAAGGTAGGGTGGTGTGGCTGAGGGGCAGCTGTTCATGGCAGCCACAAACAACAAGAGCCAACAGGGAAAATGAGAAAGCATGCCTCTTTGCCTTTCTTACATTGTATGCCAGTTATCTGCCCTGGCAGGTGCAGCACCCACAACGCCAATCTCAGCAATAGACAATGAGCCAATCACAAATGCTAGATTCAACTACCTCCATGATAGCATGAGGCTTGGGGGGTGCATCTGAACACAAACCATATTAGACTGAGATCAGTACTCATTCCTCTTGAGTCCTTTTAGTTTGTTTTGCCAAAAGACCAGATGAGAAAAAGTAAGTGGAAATAAGGAAGTGTGTTTTTATATAAGCCTAAGTACTTGGTCATCTATACTGTTAAAGGCTGAGAAAAAATTTGAGAACTTAGTTTATAGTACTTGTCTTCCAATCAAGCGATGATTACTAAGACTACCATATGGTTTAGAAGATATATTTGTTACCTTTGGAAACTTGAAGTTACTAAATTATTAACAGCTATCAAGACAGAAAACACCACATATCTTTGGAGATTCTTTTTAGTAGGGGAATTGTGGATTTAGATGTTTCACCCACCTGATGAGAAGAGTAACTCACAAGCATGTCAACTGATTATACAGAACAAATAATTTTACCAGTACATGATATTGTTGAGAGTGAAGCTGTATTCAGAAGGCTATTTTATCAGCTAAAAAAATAGACAAAGAATATAGAGTGAGACATGGTAGTACACACCACTGATCCCAGAACTTTGAGAACCCCAGGCAGGAAGGTAGCAAGTTCAAGCCCAGGCTGAGCAACTTAGTGACCTGGTAAGACCCTTTCTCAAAGTTTAAAAAAAAAGGCTGGAAATACACCACTGTCATGGTTACTTCTCTCCCATTGCTGGGACAAAATACCCAGCACCCAAAGTGAAAGGAGGAAAGATTTATTTAGCTTACAGTTTTTGGAGGTTTCAGTACATAATCAGTGGCTGCAAGGCAGGGTGACATGGCACCAGGGCAACACTTTAAGGCAACAGCCAGAGCAAAAGGGTGGGAGCAAGCCTCATCTCCCTTATACTGTACAATGGCCACCACGCCCTCCCAGGGAGGGTGTAGCACTCACAAAATCTCTGTGCTCTCCTCTTACACAGGATGAGGATATTTATAAGGTCAGGATCCTGGCTCCCTGCTGAATCTCTCAGTTAAACTTCTAAACTTCTCAGGTTGACACAATGTATCAACCATTGCAAAGGCACTGGGTCAATCCTTAGTACTCAAAAAAATTCATAATTATTGCCTCTGTCCCTCTTGATGCTAATCCAGGGGACACCCCCTACCACTTCTGTAACTGCTTTGCATACTTTGCTATGTGATCACCTTGCTGCCGTGCAAACAGGTTTTGCTGGGAGAAATGTTTTCCAGGCTGGTCTAATTTGTCTTTGCTTTCTTGATTGGTACCATAAATTGCTTCATGTTTATGTCTCAAATTTAATTTTAGTTTATTTGAATGTTTCAGCAGTTAGTAACAGTCTCGTAAAATGTATGTATTCAACAAATATTTCTTGAATATATTGTTTTCAGTGCTTCAGATAACAACAGATTAAAAAATACCCTTCCTTCATCTTCATGGAGTTTACA